GTTACCATGCTAAGGAACTAATACTGAGAACAGGAGTTCAGATTCTAACTGTGCCAGAAAGGACTGTGTTGAAAACCTTTGCCACGCCTGTGAGCAGGTTACAATGACTCTCCGTGCCAACTCCTGAATATGGGAGCAGTCAAAAGGACACACACAGACATATTTATTGCTTCTCTTTTTCGTCTATAATCTGCACTCTCAGATAAAAATAAAAAAAATAGATATGAATAGAACAGAATAAAAGAGAATGATTATTCTTCAGACACAATGTAATAATTTAAATATAGATGGACAAACAAGAGTCAACAATAACACACACAAATAGAAATACATACGATCCAAGACACACATTACTCTTAATGTTGAATTTAAAAATAGAACCGACTGTTTTTATCTTCTTATAAAGAAAGCTGAGGAGCTAAAAGTGGTTGCGCTTCAATTCTACCGTGACTGAGTTTCATATTACTGCCAGATTGAAAGTAAATGTCGTGTCTGATTCATCTTAAAAATAAGCCCCATTGCGTAATGTTTTATACGTTGAGGCATTTGTTATGTCCCCTGCAGGAGGAATGATGCTTTATTACACAAATCTACAAATGTTCAGTGACTGTGACATACATTATTAATCAAAGTTGATTAACAAAATAAAAAGTTTGAAATGTATGTCCTGCTATTTATCAAGTTTCTTGAATTGTCTCATTATAAATATCTTTAATTAAGATGAAAAAAATAATAACAATAACACATTTTAGAAATCATCTTTTAAATCAAAAATTACAAAACCTGCATTATTGATTCAGGGGAAAAACTTAAATAGAAAAATTTGATTTAATCCATCAAATGAATTAACAATGACTACGCTCTGAAACATGATAGGTGAATAACTTACAGGTGTCTCCTGAGGTGTGCATATCTCCTTATATCAATTTCTTTTACTTGCAAATTTATTGACCTACAACTAATCTCACATCTGAGGGCTGGCTTAGTTGGAAAGGTCTGGCTTGTTTTGTTGTTATTTGGGTTTCATAAAACTGGCTAGCTCTGATTCAGTTGCTATGGCAACTGGGCGGAACTTACACTGGTTGGATCCAGGTTCAGAGCCAGCTAAGTTTAAACTATATGTGTTCATTGTTGAATCCAGGGCCAGAAGGTGCAGTAAGAGACAGGAAGGGTTTTGACGCCATCATTTGGTCCAAATGCATATTACCATCAAAAAAAGCAACAAGTTAAAAGGAATTATATTCATTGCATGCAATTAAGTTATACTTATTAAACACAGTTATTTTTTAAACTTAAGTAAATATATTTATACAAAATGATGCTATATAAAAATCTTATAAACAAAATATGTTTCCTCTTTTTTGCTTTGTGAAAGGAACTTTTTCTAACTTTGTCTGGCTTACTGGTTCTGCATTAACGTTACAGATTTCTAGAGAAAAGTTTATTTACTTACCAGCTTGTTATCCTGTTCTGAGGGGACCTCATCACTACGTCAGAACAGCTTCAATCATACCACTTTGCAGAGGCCTGCACATTTTATCCAATAGCTTGAAGTCAGTCTTTGTTATTTTGCTTACTTTTCTTTTCCCCTTTTTCTTTGTGAGTACGATATGAATATGGTTATATGAAGGTGAAAAACTGGTCCAGAATCTTTTGTTGGTTTTAAAAATAAGGACAGTGTGATCAACTAGAGCTTACCATTTTGGATGAGTTTTGAGTACCGCTTTCTTGCCTGTTAGAAGGTGTGTATCTTGCCACTGGTGTTCTAAAAGTGCTAAATGTGAAAAATAAGTTTTGTTTTTTTGTTGGGTTGCAACATTTCAACACAATCTACAATCTAATTCTTTATTAAAAGTAGTTGTACTCTTCGGTTTTGCTTGCTATGCCAAAAGACACAGTTAAAAGGTACACCGTGCTTAACCAAGCCACTGTTTTGCTGATCGCTGAAGATGATTAAGCACAAAGTTGTTGGAAGAAGTTTGTTTTTTGGTTTATGGTTCAGTTTCTTGCAACCCTAAAGCTGGTGTAAATTAGGTTGGGTTTGCTGTTTGTTCTTTGCATACAACTCTTATTTCTGGTTCTTTGCAAAAAACAATTCTCAGCTCAAACTGCTTATCTTATTGCTTTGACAGAAGCTTGGAAATTGGCAAAAGGCAAGATTGTGAATATACTACATGTTTAAGGTTGTGCATGATTTTGGTATTTTGTGGTTCTACAGAAAGTTTCTCAATTCTAATAGGAAACCTATTTTGAACTCTGTCCAGGTTGCAGACTCTCTCTGTTTTGTATCCTAAGGCATTTTCTGTGTTTAAACATGATGCACATCCTTCTTACAGACATTGTGTCTTGCCGAAAACAAAAGAGCAGATGCCACCTCAAAGCTCATAAGTTCTGTGTCTCGTATATTCACAGCACTGTATTCTACAGACAAACACTCTCTCCTTGCCCTCCGCTACATGAGCTTGCAACCCTGCAAAGCTTTTTTTTCTCTGAGGAGAAGCTGCAGGTGCAGACTGCAATGTTAGTGGTGTCTGGGTTGGTCCAGATGATAAGCCATGTCTTCGTTGACATTTCTTTCCATGTTTTGCAAAATTGACACGTGGGTTGGATCATTGTTTACATTCTGATATGATTGCCAATGATATGGCACTAATTTTGCAAGGTAACTGGCTTGACACAGACAAACATTTCTCCAACTCTTCTTATCTTTATGCGGTTGATGCAATCTGGGTGAAGGTTCTCCTTTGTGTTAGGGTTCCTGTTTGTGGGGGGTTGCTTTGTGTTCTTCTTTTTAGTACCTTCGTCCATCCACTAGATGGTGTCCTAGTTCTCTGTTGGCCTGGAGGCCTTCTTCCTGGTGTCGACCGCCCACACCTGCGGCTCGTTTGGTCATTACCTCCAGAGGAGTATATAGCAGCGGACCGTCATCACCTCGACGCCAGAGTGTTTGCCACTATTGGGTACTCTAGCCTCTCTGAGATTAGCTGAGTCTAACCCTCTGAGTTTTTTGTCTCTCTGAGTCTAAGGATTTAACCTTTGTCTCTTCCTGATCCACTGGATAAGCCTGGTCCTTCTACCGCTTGGAAGGAAATATTTGTCTCTCTGAGCAAGGGGAAACCTTCACCTGATCAGTCCAAGTCCTCCTCAAGAAAATCTGAGACAGTCCTCTCCGCTGCTCCTCCGGACCCACCTAAAGTCTGCCTGTCCGCCCTCCAACTAAGTAACCTCCATAACTGGACATCCTCCCCACAAACTGGACCCAAGGATCAACCAAAGACCATTTTTAGTGAGTCAAATTAAGCTATTCATCTTCTTGGCTGGTTTTCCTATGGACCATGAACTCGCCATTTCTGATCTCCCTCTAGAGTTTCCGGTTCCTGTTCACCAGACCGCTGGATACATCCCAGCTGAGAATCTCCTGTATTATCTCTCTCTGAGTTTTGTCACATTCAATAAATTGTTAACTTTTCCTGTGCCTCTGAGTAGTTTTCTGTTTGTGGGCAAGACATTTGAAACCCTACATGACACTTTCAATGTGCTGTTTTGTAGGCCTCCAAATTTGGGACCAATGCCAAGGCCTCCATCCATTTTGGATGTTTTACTTTTTTATCTATTTTTTATTTTGATTTATTTATTTTTTTTCATTTTGGATATTGAGAACAATGTCCATAATATTCAACATGGCAAAAACATTTGCCAATCTAACATTCTCAAGTTATTTCAATATCAAACAATCAGAATTGGAAGACTATCATTCATTGGAAAACAGACTTGCACTTTAGAATTGGTAAATCAGGATGTTGACCTTTAAAGGAAATTAATTCAAACCACGCACAAGCGATATTTTTACAATTATTAAAGCTATTTTCTTTATATTTTATTTTTCCATTTGTTTTCAAAGCCTTTGGCAATTCTGTATCGCAGTCATGTGAGCAAAGGACGTTTGTAATGATCTTACTTTCTGGACCTTTTGTTTCTGAGAAGTTTTTTTAGTTTTTGGTTTTCAAGTATGCTTTGTTTTGTTCTGTGATCTTTAGATTTGTATTTTTTGTATTTTCTGTATACCTTAATAATAATAATACATTTTATTTGAAAGCGCCTTATCACAACACCCAAGGACACTGTACAGGCAGATAAAAACATTAAAAACAGGAAGCTAAAAAGTACAAGCATAAAGATGCCACAGAAAACAAAACAGCAGGAAGTACCTTGATTGATTTAAAGACTTTATTGATCTCACCCTGGAGAAATTTGCTTGTGACAAAGGCTCAATAGTCAAAAAGAAGGTGCCAAAAGTACAATGAATATATACAGTGCATCCATATATATACGCACATATATCTATATTATATATATATACAGCTGGAGTCTCTTATTTAACAGGATTATTGCACAAGGTATTAATTTAAATAGGTATTTATATATAGTTATTGTACAGGGTATTAATAATTGATTGCACATTAGTCATTGCCAAAGTTATTGCAGTTTTCTGCCACATTGTAAAGTCTAATGGCAGCAGGGATGAATGACCTGCGGTAGTGCTCCTTTTTACTAACAGGGTTAAAAGTATTTCACTAAAGGAGCTGCTCTGCTCCTCTACAGTCTGGTGCCTAGGGTGGAAGGTGTTGTCCACGAAGGATGTAAGCTTGGACAGCACCCTCCTCTCAGACACTTCCTCCACCGAGTCCAAAGTGCAGCCTAAGACAGAAGTGGCCTTTCTCACCAGTTTGTTCGCTGTCTTTCTGTGCTGCCAGGGGCCCAGCAGACAACAGCGTAGAGGAGGGCTGGTGCCACCACAGAGTCGAAGGTTTTAAGCAGGAGCCTGCTTACTCCAAAGGACCTCAGCCTCCTCAGAAAGTTGAAGCTGCTCTGGCCCTTCTTATACATGGCTTTGGTGTTATGAGTCCAGTCCAGTTTATTATTGACGTGAACGGCCAGGTACAGGTATTTGAAATTTCCATAGTTTCTATGTCCTACCCCTCGATGTTCACAGGGGAGTGAGGTGGAGGTCTTCTCGATCACAATCTCTTTAGTCTTACTGGGGTTAAGACATCGGTGGTTCTTCTCACACCAGTCCACAAAGTTCATGATGACCGACTGTACTCCAGGTCATATCCTTTACTTTCCCCTTTCCTTTGCCTTTAGCTCCTTCTAATTACTGCTGTCTACACCTGCTCCATATCAGCTAATTAGTCCTCCCATTGTTTCTGTTTCCCATATATACACCTCCTTTTCAGTTAATCATTGCTGGATCCCCATCTTTTCTTAGGTTTATTTCTCCCTGGTGTCTCCTAGTTCTTTGGTTCCTGAGTTTCTTGTTGATCATTTGTTGACTATAGATTCTGTATTTTACTTCTTCGTTAAATTATATAACACCCTTGTGTACAGCTCTTGTGTACACCCTTGTGTACAGCTCTCCAAGTAACACCAGAACAAATTATCAGAAACACTAACAATAGTTAAAATTGGCATAGTTGCAAGGGTATCCATGTTTTAATGTTTTTTGTAATGATCTTTGGAAAAAATTTTCAACATAATGTATTTTGTATCTGCTGCCTGCCTTCAGCAAATATTGCTGGCGGCTCTCCCTATTATCCACTAAACATACCCTAGGGAATGTTCCTGCCCCCTTTTATAAACCCTGGGGCAATAGAGATACTCCAGAGCAATGATTATAAATAGAAAGAGACAACACCCAAAGAAAATGTAATATCACCAAAACAGCAAAGTAAGTAGAGTAGCTATGAAGACAGTTGATATATGAGCAATCAGGAAGTTATGCAAAGATAAAATCCCAGACATGGTGGAGTCCAAAACTGGAACTAAATATGCATTATAACCTACTGGACCTCAGCTCAATTTACACTAATTTAGTTCAACAACTTCAGCAAAGGATCCAACATAAACTCCAATCCCAGCATATAGAGGCTGAGTGAATTTGGTCTGGAAACGGTGCAGGAGAGTCAGTGTTTCAGAGACGCTGTAGAAAGACAGAATACCTGCACTGTGATCCAGATACACTCCTATTCTGGAGGAAACTGGACCTGATACTGGAGTTTTAACGTTGTTGTGCCAGACTGTGTAACTGTTTGTGTCACAATCTAATGACCAGGATTTGTCATTGGCCCCAAATTCACATTCATCCAATCTTCCTTCTCTGCTGATATTCTTATATAAGACTGCCACATCAATTCCTCCTCCTCCCCACTTTACCTCCCAGTAACAGCGCCCAGTCAGACTCTCTCTACTCAGGACCTGATTGTGATCATTAAACCTGTGTGGATGATAAGGATAAGACTGTTTCAGTTTCACTGATGTTACCTTTCTGTTCCCCTCGGATATTAATAGATATTTGTATGCAGTGTTTGGATCTAGAGTGATTTCTTGTGAATATAATAGGAAACCAGCTCTATTATTGCGTTCTGGTCCTGACTTCAGAACATCCACCTTACTGACAGTAAGTGAGATGTTTGTCCCTGTGTCTCTCAGGATGTCCTCTAGTTTCTCTCTGAGCTCTGACACAGCTGCTGTCACATCCTCAAAGTATCTCAGAGGACGGATATTGATGCTGGATGAGTGTGTAGACTCACTGAGTGCTGACAATGAGGGGTAGTTCTTGAGAAACTGGGTGTGATCCTCTGTTTTTAGGAGCTGCTGCAGCTCAGCTTCCTTTCTCTTCAGCTCAGTGATCTCCTGCTCTAGCTTCTCCTGAAGCTTTTTAACTCGACTCACTTCAGTTCCCTGCTGGGATCTGATCTGCTGCTTCACATCAGAGCTTCTTTTCTGGATCTTGCAGATCAGATCAGTGAAGATCTTCTCACTGTCCTCCACTGCTTTATCAGCAGAGCCATTGATGGCCTCCACCTCCTGTTGAAGCAGCTTCACATCTTTCTCCTGCTCCTGGATTCTCTGCTGGATTTGTTGTCGTCTCTCCTGGAGCTCCTTCTGCTTCTCAGTCCTTTCTGCTGCAGCTGGGACTGTTTCATGGCCTTTATGTTCATCCATTAAGCAGAGATAACAGATACACTGCTGATCAGTACGACAGAATATCTTCATCACCTCATCATGATGGGAGCAGATGTTCTCCTGGAGCTTCATTGTGGGGTCCACCAGCTTGTGCTTCTTCAGTCCAGGGACATCATAGTGAGGCTGTAGGTGATTCTCACAGTAGGAAGCAGGGCAGGATAAACAGGACTTAACAGCTTTCATCTTCCTCCCAGTGCACACATCACAGGCAACATCTTTAGGTCCAGCATAGCAGTGATCAGCTGCAGCAGCAAGAATTCCTGTTTTTTTCAGATCCTCTACCAAAGCAGCCAACATGATGTTTTTCTCCAGTCCAGGCCTCGGAATGAATTCTTTCCTGCACTGAGGACAGCTGTGTATTCTCCTCAGATCCTCTACATCCCAGTGGTCTTTGATACAGTCCATACAGTAGCTGTGTCCACATGGAATAGTCACTGGATCATTCAGCAGATCCAAGCAAATGGAGCAAGATAAGCTCTCTTGGTCTAACTGAACCCCTCTCTTCTCCATTTTAGCTTGCAGTAACTAAGACTGTTTTTGTTTCTCTCCTGTACAACAGAAACTGGTTTGAGTTCAGGTATGTCAGGTTCATGTAGGGAGTGTCAGTGGTTCCACCCATTGTCATGCTTTAAAATCAGAGGGGATTGAAACAAGGAAGCATTTTGTATCTTAAATCTGTTTTGAATTTAAAAAGACAGGATCTACATATATTATTCCCACTTAGATTCAGCCTAAAGAACATAAACTGCAAAGCTGTACTTCAAGCTATAATAAAGGCAACTTGTTTCTATCTTAGTGTATTTATTAACCACAGAGAGATCTGCATAATTCCCATGTGCAAATTCTGCAGATGGAGACAATAGATTATGGATCAGGCTTAGTTTTTGGTTTCATTTTGTTATTGTCTCTCACATAAAAACGCCCAGTTAAAGTGCAAAAGCAGGTTTGGGACTTCAAAATGATTTAACAGAATGTACGGATTTTCTTTATGCATTTGTGACAGTGTGGGGTCCTGTCACTTGCCTCCATTTGATCATGCACCTTGGCTACTTGGTCAGCGCGCAACACACACTAGTCTTGCAGGAACCATTGTATTCACTCTTTCTTTACCCTGTAAATCTGATGCAAAAGCATCCATTACAAATGTTGGTCCTCAGACTTAAAACCAGAAGATATGTAGAGACAGAACACTGCTCCCCATGGGTTATTTATAGATGTAAAACTCTATAGGGTTCTATAGGATGGGTTGCGTCACAAACATTTACATTTGAACCTTGACCTGCACAGACACTGCTATTCAAATCAACTTTCACAGTTGCAGTCGACCCACACTGGAATATTTGACCAGCTTTTAGTCCATATCTGAAAAAGCAAACTCCTCCCTCGTAAACTGGGCTGCAAAATTGATTTTTTTGTCTAAGTAGAGGGCTTAAGCAGAAAATCTAGCCACATGGGTGCATATGATTCGATTGTAATACATGTTGCAATGGCAAATGTTAATCTTTTAAATGTATTTAAGGCTTTTTGGCCTCAAACTCTTCTGCAATGTTGATCTGTATCAGTTCATGTTCATGTATTGTTCAAACTTCTATGAAATGATTTTTTCAAAGAAGCTTCAGGAAAATCATGTCATGATCGCTTTTACGAATCTGACCCACATGCAGAGATACCACTCAGAGAACACAGGAAAAGTTTAACAGGTTTATTGTGCAAATGTACAGAGGTAGGATCTGGAACTCATCCGGAACTGGAAGTGAGAGGGGAAGTTCAGAGGTCAGTTCAGGGACCGTAGGAATCTTGGATGTTGTTAGATAATGCTGGTGTGGAACTCACGTTAGAGTGGGCCTTGTCAGTCCTTGAATCCAGTCTGTGTGGGAGAATTCAGTGAATTGCGAACAAGTTGGAGGGCGGACAGAGAGAAAAGTGTTGGACCCATGGGAGTAATGGAGCGGACTGTCACTCGGATTTCCGATGGGAACTTGAACGGAACATGTGGAGGTTTTCCCCTGCTCAGTGTGAACTCGGCTTTTCCTTCCAGGGGTGATAAGGTCCAGGTATTCAGTTAAACAGGAAGTGTTCCTGTCGAAGAAGCAAAGACAAAAATACATAAGTCTCAGAGAAACAACGCTAGGTTAGACTCAGCTAATCTCAGCTTGGCTAGAGTACCCAAAACTGGCGAACACTCTGGCGTCGAGATAGTGACAGCCCACTGCTTAAATACTCCTCCAGATAATGGTCCAATGAGCCGCAGGTGTGCAGGGAGGCCCAACGAAGACAGGGCACCTCCTGGTGGTGGAGAGAAGGAAACACACAAACAGACCACACAAACTGGATTCCTAACAACTCATAGGTCAAAAAAAGCTAATTGATTTTAGCTTTCAACTTTAATGAGATTGTGATGGACCGAGTTAAAAAAAACAGGAGGAGTCGCAGGATATTAATTAGAAAAATAGGTTTTTTTTTTATTTTAACCCAAAAATACATGACAAAAGATAAACTGAGCTCATAAAAGAGGTCAAAGAAACAAAACTGAACTCAGGCAAAAATGTAAACAAACTGGCTGTACAAAAAAACATAACTGACCTACAAAGAAATGACAGATAGGGGTATATATACTGGCTGATCAGACCAATTTAGACACAATAGGGGTAACTAAACAGAATACAATTACAAACAAAACAAATAACAGTACAGCTAAGTTTGTCTAAACTAAAGACTCACAAAATGAAAATCAAAACCATTAAAGTCCAAATACCAATATTCACCTAAATGCAAAAACTCATCTAAAGAAAGAAACTACACATTCCCCCGCCAGCAAGGACCAGTGGTGCAGTCCAATCAGCATCCAAATTTGCTGAGCCCTGGCCCCCCATCTTTTGTCAACTTCAGAGTGTGGCCATGGATTTGGTCATCACACACTCCCCCACTTCCTGATCTTCCCTCTGGCTCCGAGAAAGGTAATCAGCAGTGGTGTTGTCCTTGCCGGGGATGTAGTGAACCTTAAACCGAAATGGCTGCATAGCAAGGTACCATCTGGTGATTCTCCCATTAGTGTCCTTCATTCTTTCTAGCCACTGGAGGGCTCTGATCAGTCTGAAGTGTGAATTCTCTTCCTAGCAAATAATATTTGAATGAGTCAAGGGCCCATTTAATAGCCAAGGCTTCCTTCTCCACGGTTGCATAGCGCCCCTCTCTTGGCTGCAGCTTGCGGCTGATGTAGGCAACTGGATGTTGGTCCTCTGGTGGTCCCTGCAGAAGCACTGCCCCAAGGCCTCTTTCAGAAGCATCAGTCTGCAACACAAAGTCTTTTGCAAAATCCGGTGAGTGCAAAACTGGATTCTTACTCAGAGATTGGCTAATGTCCTTAAATGCTGCAATAGCCTCTGCTGTCCACTGAATTTTAGTGGGACTTCTGGAGCCCGTCATGTCTATTAGGAATGCTGCTCTAGCTGAAAAATTAGGAATGAATCTGTGGTAGAATGCAGTCATGCCAAGAAAAGACCACAGCTGTTTCCTGGTTTGTGGGAGCGGACAGGATGCTATCGCATTGATTTTATCAACTTGAGGTTTCAGAGTACCACCTCCAATGGTGTACCCCAGGTACTGTATTTCTGTCCTGGCAAGAGCACACTTTGCTGGATTGATGGTAAGGCCTGCTAAACGCAGCCGATCCAGGACCTCCTTTAGATGGTGAACATGCTCTTCCCACTGAAAACCACAACATCATCAAGGTATGCACAGGTGAATGCTGAGAGCCCACAGAGTACCTGATCCATTAGTTTTTGATATGTTGCTGGGGCCCCATGGAGACCGAATGGCAGGACTGTAAACTCGAACAATCCCCAGGGGGTGCGAAACGCTGTCAGCTCCTGGGACTGTTTAGTGAGAGGCACCTGCCAGTACCCCTTAGACAGATCAATAGTTGTTAAGTATCTTGCTTCCCCAGGTGCTCAATGAGGTCATCAATACGTGGCATTGGGTAAGAGTCAAATTTTGATATGGAGTTGAGGTACCTGAAGTCGATGCAAAATCTTATTTTGCCATCCTTTTTCGGAACCAACACAACAGGGTTGCACCACTCACTTGTTGAAGGTTGGATGATTCCTAGAGACAGCATGAGGTCCATCTCCTCCTTCAGCTCCACCCGGAAGCGTTCGGGTATCCTGTAACTCATACGCTTTATGGCAGCATCTGATTTTAGAACAATGCTGTGCTCCACCAGAGTGGTGCGACCTGGACACTCTTGAAATATGTCAGAAGTAATAAGAGGTGTTACCTGAGACTGTTGCTCGCTGGTGAGATGGCTTAGGTCCAGCACAGATGATGTTACTGAGGGCAAATAGTCATTAACTTCTTCCTCCTCCTCCACTCTGTGAATAAGCAACACCTCAGTTTCATTCTCCTTCCGTGGAACCCACTCCTTGAGAAGGTTAACATGGAGCACTCGACTCCCTCGCTGGAGACCTGGTGTAGAGACTTGATAGGTAGTAGGTCCAGTTTTCCTCAGTACTTCAAAGGGTCCCTGCCATTTTGCTAGCAACTTGCTGTCAGAAGTTGGCAACATTACCAAAACCTTCTGGCCAGGAGCAAAACTTCTGTGGCGAGCTTTCTTGTCAAACCAAACCTTTTGGTGTTTCTGAGCAGCTGCCATATGACTCTGAGCCAACTCACTCATTTGCTGCAGTTTATCCCTCATATGGAGAACAAATGAAATAATGTTGACTGGATCCTCTTTACTCTGATCTCCCTCCCATGCATCTCTCAGCAGGGTCAGAGGGCCCCTCACATCACGGCCATAGAGGAGCTCAAATGGGGAGAAACCAGTGGAAGCCTGAGGAACCTCCCTGTAGGCAAAAAGGAGGTATGGCAACCACTGGTCCCAATCAGAGCCTGTATCATTCACAAACTTACGTAGCATTTGTTTGAGAGTTTGGTTAAAACGCTCCGTCAGGCCATCCGTCTGTGGGTGGTATGGTGTTGTCCTCATGCTCCTGATGCCCAACAGCTTATAGATCTGTTTCAAGAGTGTGGACATAAAGTTAGTGCCCTGATCAGTTAAAATCTCCTGTGGAAATCCAACCCTTGAGAAAAATTGAACCAGTGAGGAAGCCACATGTTTTGCTTTAACAGTCTTTAGTGGAAAAACTTCAGGATATCTTGTTGCATAGTCTGTGATGACAAGCATGAAGCGATTTCCAGATTTACTTTTTTCCACCGGGCCCACTACATCCATCACAAGGCGTAGAAAAGGTGTACCAATAATGGGAAGGGGTTGAAGTGGTGCTTTGCTAGGGACTCTCATTGAGGTTTTCTGACACTCAGGGCAGCTTCTGCAAAATAAAGCAACATCTGATCTTAAACCAGGCCAGAAAAAATATCGCTTGATGCGAGCAGTGGTCTTATACTTCCCAAGGTGGCCAGCCCAGGGAATAGAATGTCCCAAAGTCAGCACTGTTTCACGAGCCTCCTTAGGGACAACTAACTGCTTAAACTGGCCATGTTGATGATATAAAATGCCATCTTGCAGTATATACTGCTCTTTATTTGTGTCAGA